AAATTAGTATTAACAAACTCTATCTTTCCACTGCTGAGGAAAGAGAAGCTGCATCTGAAGTGGCATTAGATGCATTTACATAGACATTTTGATGAAGCTAAGGTGCCATAAATGCATTTACACTGCAAAATTTCAAATGCATAAATAATTTTATAAGATTAATGTTTTACACATTTTTTTAAACATACAAATAAATGTTTAAAAAATGCAATGATACTTTTAAATATGACTAAACCACCAGTAGGTCTCGGCAAATGTCTGTTTTAATGAATGAGTAATTTATTCATTAATTCAACCGATTAATTCAAAAGGCTCATTCATTCAGATATGAGGCAAGTGACTGTCCTTATGAATGGGCCACTGAATCATTGACTCACTCGATTCGTTCAAAAACGTGGATTCATTCAGTAAATTTTATAAGATTAATGTTTTACAAATTTTTTTAAACATACAAATAAATGTTTAAAAAAAAATGCAATGATACTTTTAAATATGACTAAACCACCAGTAGGTCTCGGCAAATGTCTGTTTTAATGAATGAGTAATTTATTCATTAATTCAACCGATTAATTCAAAAGGCTCATTCATTCAGATATGAGGCAAGTGACTGTCCTTATGAATGGGCCACTGAATCATTGACTCACTCGATTCGTTCAAAAACGTGAATTCATTCAGTAACGAAACACCGCTGTGTGTTGCTCGTGACGTCATTGCCGGCGCCGCTGGCAATAAAATGATCGGCTCTGAATCGGCTAGACGTGAGACTGACCGGCCGGTCACGCGAAAAATCGTCCGATTCCGATCTCTGGCTGGTCAATCGGTGCATCTCTATAAAATAGAAAGCAGTTATTTTAAATTGTAATAATTTTTCAAAATATTTCTGTTTTTAATGTATTTTCGATCAAATAAATGCAGCATTGGTGAACATATGAGGCTTCTTTCAACAGCTTTAAAAAATCTTGCCAACAAATTTTGAATGTTTCAAAGTGTTGGATATATTTAGAAACATTTAATATATTTATATAATATTTAGATTCTCAAAATAACATTTTATTGGATAAAATTGTATCTGTATTTTCTATAAACATGATTTTAATGTTAATAACTTAAAGGTTCAGTAACTTAGTAAAATAAATTTATACAAAATATATATTTTTTAAAAAGGGACCCAATTAATTTAATTTATTAATAGTGGAGTATATCAATACACACATTTCTTAAGTATATTTATTTAAAAATTAATAAAAAATGCACATCATTTGCAGTCTTATTTGTTTGTGGTGTTAATGATTGAATGATTGGAGCCTGTATGTGTGATCATAAATGAAGATTTAAAATTCGATTTACATTCAAACAGATCTATATTATCAGTACAGTGTGCCTGTGTTTATTGTGAGGCATTTCTTATGCATTGTCTTAGTAGGAATGTGTTTGCTCTCTGTATGTCCCAGAAACAGCCCTGGTCTGAATCTTCTGGTAGCATTGAGATAAAACTGCCCCAGTGCTGAGCCTGGCAGGAGGACAATGCTTTGACCCAGTGCTGAAACAGTTGCTCTTTGAACTAGGGGGCGCTGTGAGACAGTGGTGCCAGAATGAGTTTTAGAATCCTGGGATTGATCCTGGTATGTTAGTGTGAAGGCCTGGCTCATGAATATTAATTAGCGTGTGTCGACGTTGCCGGGTAGTCTTGCTAGACTGTCAAGTCACGTAACCTATTTAATATTCATGAGCCAAACCTTCACTTTGGTATTTATTCATAAAATCATGTTCTGTGCAGATACGCTTTAGTTGTATAGATGATTTGGCGTTGAGATACAATATTAGATCAGCTTTACATTTGCTCATATATTTTCCTTGTTTTAATAAACTGACTCATGTTTAGGATGACAGATTTAGCAATCTAAGGTTAAATTGATTGTGCCTATGATTTCATTCAGATCACTGTCTCAGAGATTTTGTAGAAATATGCGTGGAGATATATGAATATACTTATACGGATAGGCCAACAAAACATTTTAATATCAGCCATTAAAATTCAGTTTAGTGGGGCCAGTTTTAAAAGGCATCTGGGGCTTGGAGAAGAAAACCGCCCATGTTTGGCCTGTATATTTTGGGTAACCTTGAGCAATAGTATAATGTAGCGTGTCCCAAATACGTCAAATTGAGAGTGGCTCCCTTGACATTTGCGTTACAGGATTTTGCTCTGTTTCTAGAGCCCGTCTCATGCCTCAGTCTCTCCAGCCCGCTGTAGGACAGAAAGGATTTAGTTGTGATGACATTTCTATTGTTCAGCTGCATTCCTATGGTAATTTTCCATGCCCTCATAGAGGATTCTCTGAAATGGGTTGCATGTGAAACAAGACAATAGCAGTAAGAAATTAAGGGAGATGTGTGGAACGGTATTATGAGAGTGGATGAAGAAATTCATTCCTACGTCGTTCTCGTCTGCTTTCTATCACTCTTCGTTTCCATGTAGAGAGCTGTATTTTGTATTTCCACCTCTTTTATCTATAAAACAAAGACTCGAGCAGATGTCCAGCACTGCTCTGATTCTCTCTGTATGAAGCGAACAATGTCTGATCATAAGAGAGACACTGATTTAAGAGGAGAGCACAGTGGCCTTGCTGCCAGCAGACGGACAGGCAGGGATACCCGCTCAGTCTGTGCAAATTTTGGGCACTTCAGCCAATGTGTGAACTATTTGCATATTCTCTCAGTCCTGAATATCAGACAGTTAGAAGATAAACATTTGACTGCCATAAATTGATTGATTTGGAGAGTAATGTGGGTAAATGGGAACATAGCATTTGATCTGTTGTTCTCAATGTACAGGAGCTTCATAAGAAGATGCTTGTGTTCTGTGGGATTAATGTTATTGTAAAATGCAGTGTAAATGATTTGGGGAGATTTTGGGAGTGGAATATATGACTGTGTTAGCTTGGTCGATTAACAGAAGTGTTACCACTTATCAAAGTGTTACCTGTTACCAAATATCTTTAGTCATTTTTTTAGCAATTTGAATTACTTTTTTTTATTTTTTTATTAAAAAAGTATTTATTTTATTTATGTGATTTTAAATGTATTTCAAATGTATTCTAATTGGAAATTGTAACAGTACAAATATTTGTTTACAGTTACTGTACATTCATAATAATATTTTTATTTACACTACCATTCAAAAGGTTGGGTGTTAAGATGCTTCTATACTTAAATTCTCTGTAATATTCTCTCCTTTTCTTTGTTTTGACCTTTTGTATATGCTAGTATATTTTACTGTTTCATGATTTGATATAATGTGCAGTTTGGGTTCAGGGTCCTGTAATGTTCCTAATGATTTGTTAGCTTTCTAAAGCTCTGTTGCAGTGGGGTTGAGTCTGACTCTGCAGTGTGTTAATCAATAGGTCTCGGGCAGCCGTCTCATGCACAGCCTGTGTGTATGGATAGAGGAAAAGACTCTCTCACTGTCTCATTCTTCCACAAACAAACCCCAGAAAGACAGATAGATAGATTATTTGAGTCTAAAGGCTCTGAGGGATGCACACACAAACACACACACAATTCAGTGAGTACAAAGCAGTTCTTGTGCACAGTGGTGGCTTCTAATTATCTCTCGTCTGAGGAAATTGGGCTCCCTGAGAAACACACTTTTTTTTTTCCTTCAATTAGCTGGTCATGTATGGATGACTTCATTGGCACCTTGCTGCCAGTAATATTCACACCCTCCACACACTTAATGTCAGAAGAATGCCATGGAGAGCATGATCAAGGCATAACTGACCCTCATTAGAGTCCAAAATGAAGTCGAGGACTGATAATGTTCACCCAGAGCCTTTCATTTTTCTACTTGTTTAAGAAGGATGAGGAATGAGAGCAATGAAATTTGATTGGATGAATATATAAAACCAGCTATGTTGCCATCTTTTTTTTTTAGCTTCAAGCTTTTTTTTATAATTATAATTTATAAATTATAATTTTTTACAATTTATAAGATTTTTCATTTTTTTCTATTTTTTTGTCTGTTTATAGTTGCTTTTATTATTTATTCATTGTCAGTGCAACAAAGTTGAGCAGAGATTAATGATACGGCAACCTCTAAATATTTTTGACTCAAAGGATCCCAACTCTATTAATAGAATACACTACAGTATATTAATATTATTTCAATGTTATTATAAATCTTATTATAATTTACAATTATTATAACATTTGACAGATAAATTCAAAATATAAAAATAAAAATGGCAGAAATAAATATATATAAAAAAACACAAAATTTACTAAAATTAATTTCTAAACAGATTTGATAACAGAAAACACTTTCGTTATTCACTGACACAAATCATCCACTATCAGATACATTCATCTGGTGTCATATGTTATTAACAAAACCTTGGAGTGTTGATATAGGTAGAGTAAATGAATTAACTACAATTCATTTTGTGATTCCAGGACTTTCAAGAAATTTATGTTTTTGAATAAAAACAATAGGGAGTGAGGGGAAAAAGACATTTGATTTCAGTTTATATCTTTATGTATGCTTGTTTTTAGCATTTTTTTAGCACAAGTTCAATTGTTTAACTGGTTAGCGTTTCACTGTACTGCCCACGGTACACTGCGTGTTTTAGGCAATTTAGACAAATCTTACAGGAATGCTAAGGGGTTAAGTATATTTATAATTAATGTAATAATAATTAAGTAATTTAATTAATAGTAATATATAAATTTAAGTAACCCTGGGGCCTGCTTGAAGGTTGGTTGAGGCTCCAGTGGGCCCCCGGACGCCTGATGAGAACCAGTGCTTTAAGGGAAGTCAGTACACTCAGCAGAGATCTTGTTAGCATTCAGTACTTGTCTACTTGAATGAGGAAAGACCAAAATCTGTGTAACAGTTTGATGAAATTACATTTCAGTAACAAACTCTTTGTCTCTTCCTTCCTCTCTATATCTGTCTATATAGCCACAGCTTCCTGTAACTGCAAGCCGATATTGGTGGTGGAACATTTAATGCGAAAAACCCCACACACCCTCCTCCCTGCCTCCAAGCTCCTCCTACTCCATCGTCATGGCGATGAGCAGTGATCCTGGTTGCATGGGGGTGGGCCCTGACCCAGACTCCTCCCAGACCACTGAGATGACTGATAAGATGTCTGTGGTGTCGCTAAGGTCCGATACCTCCTCCAGTGTAGTGAAGAATGGGACAGGTGTTAAGAAAGCTCCGCCCAAGAGGCCACACCTGTCAGGCAGGAAGATGTCATTGCAAGAGAGAGGAACGTATGTGTCTTCTGGGAGCGGGGCTGACCGCTATTCCCGCATAGCCAGACAGCCGACCATCGAGTCCAAACAAGTGTCCATCTCAGACTCGCAGGTGAGAAAAATTTAAAAATCTTCTGGAATTGGCAGATGCCGATAATAAAAAAAAATAAATAAAAAAAAAGCCAAATGTTGGCTGATATATAAGCCTTGGTGATATAGCAGTCGACCGCTACTGATTAGTTTTGGATTGATTTGCAGTATCAAGTTTTTAATAGTTACTGACATCTGGTCACCTCTGACTGGTTTTATAGTATGAAATCCTCTCTTACATAGCATGAAGAGCTTGGTGTCTGTGTGTTTGTGTGTATGTGTGTGTGTGTGTGTGTGTGTGTGTGTGTGTGTGTTTGAAGCAAAACTCATTTCCTCTGATTAGTGTCCAGATCATGTGGCGACCCATACAGCCAAACTTTAATAAGGCTTCTTTCATTCATACACAGCCTCAGCACCCTCCCCTTCCTAACAACCTTCTCCTATAAATGAATATATTTGTTCTGACCTGTAGAGATGATCTGTGTGTGTTTGGCTGTGTGTGTGTGTGCGCGCCCACATTTCTTCCTGGCCATATGTTTGTGTGTGTTAATGGGGCTCAAGCCTGTCTGAGGGCTGAGACATTGAAAGGCAGGGGTCCTCCTCATCTTCTCTCTGTAGTGTATCTGCAGTGTGAGAGGCTCTCTGCTTTGAGAGGAGCATCAGCTGGACGTGTTCTTCTCGTCTGCACTCACACTCATCCAGTGATAGGCATAGAGGGGAAAGACTCTATTTATCATTTATCATTGATGTCATTTGAATCGTACATTCATACTGGAGTACTTAAATGATATGCTTCTACTTACTAAAAGTCTGTCATTATTTACTTACCCTCGTGTCATTTTAAACCCATTTGACTTTTTCCATGGAACACTTTTTTAATTAATTGATTAATATGGTTTGCTCATTCTTAATGATTTGTTTACAAATCAGACTCATCCAGTTGAGTCAGTAAGTTGTTCTTAATAAGTGCATTTACATGCATTTTTAAAGCTTAATTTCAGTCAGACTGAAGCAATTATTTGTCATTTTTTAAAATGTCATAAAACTGCTTTAGACCCAGCCTGACCATATCAGTCGGATTTTTGTGAAGTCAGACGAACAGATCTGGATATTGTGATTCTAGCTTATTTTGATGTATATGGTGATACGGACTGCTATTGTCCTCTTCTGGAAAGCTTGAGTTGGCATTCATTGTAATTGCATGGATAAAGGGCAACTAGTGTGTTGTCAATATTACATTTGCTGTTCCACAGAAGAAAGATGGTCATATGGGTTTGGAATGACATGAGGGTAAGTAAATGATGACAACATTTTTGTTTCTAGATGAACTAATCCTTTAACCCACTTAAAGGAACACTCCACTATTTTTGAAAATAGGCTCATTTTCCAACTCCCCTAGAGTTAAACAGTTGAGTTTTACCGTTTTCGAATCCATTCAGCCGATCTCCGGGTCTGGCGGTAGCACTTTTAGCTGCAGCTTAGCATAGATCATTGAATCTGAT